GCACATATTGTGGAACAGGTGGTCAAGCTTCCAACCACACATCCACTTTTTAGAGCTGGCATCAATTTGAAATTTCCCGAATCCAAATTAGACCAGTGCACAGAGTGAAAATAGTCCTGAAGGCCGATGGAAACATATTAACACGAGGATGAGGGTTGGTCAACTATCCAAATCTAACATCTTCCCAAAAAACGAAAAAGTGAAACTCTACCTGATGAATGGAACCTTCTAGATCGTATCGCAGGTCTCCGTAAGCAGCTATCCCCTCAGGAAGTTTTTCGCTGTCCAGCAATTCTTCGTTTAACTTGCACTGGTTGATCACACTTCGCAACGATTCCAAATGGGTGCTGAAAAAGAGTAGAAAAACAAACTTATTGGAAATGGCGAATCACATGGAACAAACAGGAGTTTGCGGAAGTCATAGAAGATTACCGTGAGCCTAGAGACGATAAAGACCCATAGAACAATAACCGTGAAAAGGCGAAGTAGTAGATCCAAGGTACTCCTATTATCCGAAATCACACACAGAAAGAGATCATCAATAAGATGTTTTTTAAGAACACACCTCTTGATAGGGAAGAAAAATTACAAGGTAACCCAATAATCCAAGCAAGATACCATGAAAAGCTAGTGGCAAACAGTAAACAATCTAGCCGCACTCACGAGGCCTCATTGACCGCTTCGTTTGCCTGTTCTTGGGCTTTGTCTTTACGAGCAGCTAATCGTGACACGTGATCCCATTTCTTCTCGCGCGCTTTCACCTGTAAGAAGCAGAGTGTGAAGTACGCGACAGTTAGTCAGTCATCGCGATCAGATCATTTATGAGAAAATTTCGAACGAAAACAGAAATAGTTATACGATTCGTGATTTGAACAGCTACCTCGTAGTGTCAGTCACTTCAAGTTACTTTTTTGTGATTAGAAAAAAATATCCATTCAACTGCAAACAACACCTTTATGCTTTCTCAGCACACGATTATTACATCGCTTTAATTTAACGCCTTTAGACTCCCGTTTCAGCATTTTGATTAGTGAGCAGTTTTCCAAAAGCGCAAGTGAGTCAATTTCGAGGGATCTGGATCACAGCCACAGAATAAAAAGCTTGCGTTCACTTGCATGGTTGCGCTACACCAATTTGTTTCCCACTGACCGTCCAGTTGGAATCTATACCACTGCATCGCTATGTCCACTCGTCGTCCCTACACAAAAGAGGACTTTTACGTGTTGGAAACTAAATGAAGTGTTTTGCCGTGTTTCGGTGAGCAAAGCGAATTCCCATCGAATAAGAAAACAGAAGCACACTGGATGGATGACAGTTCACAGTCGTGAAATACCCGCCGAATTGACGGTTCCCGTGGTGGACGGAACAAACATACAGCCAATATTCGCGAAGATGATGAAAGTGACCTCCACGTTGTATTTCCGCATCCACCGGGAATGTCTGTGTTGTGCGTAAACAATAGTTCCGGTTAAATGAAGACGTTAACATTTCAGTCCGGGACTACTATTATCAAGTGATGAACGTACTGAAGTTGGTTGAAGGTTGTCCAAAATCCCTAGCAAATTACTTGAGAGTCTTGTAAGGTTGTGTTTTTGTATCCTTACTTCTTTTAACTTCACAGAGGATTCTCCGGTTCTCCTCAAGTACAGTAACGACTTCGATTCACGTCAAGGTATCAATCACATCACACTGATATCTTTATCAAATTTACACTTTTTAATCTCTTGTCCAATCTTTGCATGTGATCCGGAGTGCGTTTCCTCAACATTACGCTTCAAAATTCCACGGGATCCGATTGTGTGGAATTCCAATTTTCGGACCCAGTCGACTCTCGGAAATAACATGGTGTCACCCTGGAGGATTTCCACAGCTGAATAGTCCATATAGATGGCTGTGTTAGCAAAACGTGTAGTAAGAGCAGACAATGCGAACTAGCGATTTCCGCTTTTCATTATCAATGAATAACTACTGCATCTGGGCCATTCTATACCGTTTCCCAGTCATTTGCCCTAGACTGTTTAAAAAAAGTTTTTAACATCATCGCGGTTTTGGCAACTAGAGGCCGTGTATCTGTTGTCCTTCGGGAGGTGCTGGAAGTGATAAACTGAGTGAAATTTACGTTATTGCCTGGGAGAAGTTGACCATAAAACTTTTCCGATATGACACACACACACACACATCTCTTGGACACCGATCGTTCCAACTGCGGAATTTAATAAAGCACCCAATCTCGTTTCCATATATGCCCCTTCTAGAATAAGCTTCTTTTATGGGAACTCTCTAACTCCTCCAGTTGGTTCGAGATTTTCCGGACAGCGATAAGACAAAGGAATTGTATGCAACCTTCCAAGCGTAAAACCAGTTTTTTACGTTTATGTTTTGCGATTATTCCGTTTCTAATTTTTCACTCACTCCGATGCGCGATCAGTGAGTAGATGAGGTAGAAGTGTACGCTTAGAACCTTGCAAAAGTCGTTCTCATGCACATAGAATAAATAAAACGCACAAAAAGTCAATGAGCTGTTTTTTAGTTTGTATAATCATCAACCATGTAGTTTCGTGTGCCAATTTTGATTGCTATCTTTTGGCTGCCTATTTGGATGAACAGTTGGAGAAAGACGGAAGAGTTGAAAGTAGAGAAAATGGAGTTTCAGTAGACTAGTGTTGCAATGAAATTGAGAAGATGCACGAATGCCACCGTTTACGATACCCAGTTATATCACTCAGTATGTCTAACCATTGATTACAATGTTCCCGAGGTCCCCAGCCAGGGAGCCTAACAGTACCTATATGACCGAGTTTCCTGGTTAGGATTTTCATACACTCGTACCAAGTCTTATTTTGGCCACCCTTGGCTTTTTTCCACCCACTACCTGCCTCGGAAAACATTGCTCGCCGTGGCAACCTATTTGATGACATGCGTAATACATGCCCCAACTATCTCAATCCAAGGAGGTCGGCCAACAAGAGACTGTGGGATTTCGGCAGCGAATTGCTCGTAGCGAGAACCGAATCTACCACTTCTGAAGGTGGAAATCCGAACAACGTGAATCAAAGGCGAAGGTACAAGATTCACCTAATCACCATGTATCTCTCCATTACCTGGAGATGCGCTAAAACTTGACAATTTGTGCAGAGAAGGGATAGTCTTCCACGAGTCGATTAGGCGGATTTCGTGGATTAGAGAAAGTAACCAACTCACCGGATCTCCGTTTCGGATTGCATCACGCAAAGCATCAATGTGATTACGTGTCGCGGCCTCAAGTAGTCCAAGACTGGCATTGGCAGCCTGCACACTTTGCGTGGCCTGTCGCACAGCTCGTTCAATATCCGCAGCTGTGAAAGGAAAAAGGAATTCGAATCATGCACACATACGGTGATGGATAAATGAGTGCGGTTATGACGGTGGGAGGATAAAATAAGACCCGTGTTGTCATTAGTTGGGTCGATGACAAGCAGGGTGAGAATTAGCCATCACCGAATACAGTAACAATAACATGATAAGCAAACCAGATCACTGGATGAAACAATTGGTCTGACAGTGGGGTTTGTAAAATATCACAAGGGTTAGACATTTATTCAGGCAAAAATATTGCCCTTAGTTCTCTTTGGAGCACAACTAAGAAGACTGAAATGATGTCGATCGGTTGAAAACCTTCACTTTTCAGTAGGATGATTGCAATGAATTGGATAGCTGATGTTACAGAAAATCCGCGGGAGCGTTAGCGAAGATTTGTGAACGATGCATTGTCAACATAATGGTTTTCCTCGTTCCGGGAAAATTATGAGCGTGCTGGACTGAAAAACGGGAAACTGCCGACTTCGGTTTTCACACTCATTCCAACATAACCAGTTCGACATACCCGTTTCGCCTTAAAAGTGAGGTGATTCGCAATCAGTTGGGGGGCATGGACTATTCGTGTTTCGGAACTCCATATTCACCTTTATCATAACGCACTGTGTGGTGAGCAGTAAAAGGGTTAAACCCCATAGTCACGAGAACCTACTGTTCACTCGTGGGAAACGTCGGGACTTGGAATAGTGAAAAACCCAAGTCCTCACTATCGCACAGGCGTGGTATTGAGCCGAGCGACACCGAAGATGTCTATCGATTGCTTTCCGGTCCGCGCAGTTGTGTGACAAATGATGGTGACAGAATAAAAGAGATGTTCGGGCTTGCGGTCGTATAGGTCAAACCGAAACACCTTTTGTATGAGGAAGCCCAAAACATTGGTTAGCACAACGTATCCGAAACTGCGGCGCAGAAGCTGTATGTGCACCTGCACACTGCAGCGAATGTAGTCAACTGTATAGATACCGGCGTAACATTTCGAAGGATACGAATGAGCATACAAACTGTGCCACAGCGTACTCCGTTCCGTTCCGCCAGTTGAGATAATTCAAATAATCCGACAAGCCAAGGTTTTTGTCTGCCAATTTTCACTTGGCTATGAGACAGGTGGTAACACCAAGATCGATCGTCGGACATTTTAACAGATGCATTGTTGTCAATTCACACCTCGATAATTTCCACACGTCGTCCCGCAAATGTGCCGCAGTCATCCCTTGTACCGTGCCGCGGCATCAGTTATTGTTCCGGAATAAAAACAGGCCTCCGAAATCCTCTGTATGGTCGGTGATGGGTGTCTAAAGTTGCGGCTGGTTACCCTTCCCTTGGACCTCAAGAAATTTTCCCATATGACGAAGCATCTCAAATAGCCTATGCAGAGGAAGCTCTACTCACTGCCTTCTCGTGGCAGAGGTGCTTACCCACCAAAGTGAGAGGACGAAAAGCCGACATGTGTGTGTGTGTGGGTATAACGGGGTTGGTGGACACCTGGTAGTTCACCTAGAGGAGTTGGCCAAAAACCCTGTTTCCAAACCAACCATGAGGAGGCGTACGAACCACACCCACATCCTTTCGATTGTAGTGGTGATCACCGATTCAATTAAGCATCGAGGTGTATTGGGTAATTTGGACGTTTGACCCAGTCCAAAGGGCGTATGATCCGATGAACTGGACACCGGCACTCAATGGGCTGCATTTTCACACACCGCCCCGCTGCCTTGTGAGTTAGGCTTTGGCTAACCAAAGGCTACGGCTGCAGATTCCTCAAGAAAATTCCATTGCCTTGGCCTGGGCAACTTGGCAGTATTCTGCCCACATGCAAATCATGGAACTTTTTTTGTTTTCATAAAGATTATTATACCATGATTTGTTTGGCACAGTCTGGCATCAGACTTGTGTGAAATACACACACACGCATATATATATATATATATATATATATATATATGTGTGTGTGTGTGTGTGTGTGTGTGTAAAACATTATT